GGGGTTGGCAGCCTCATTATCCCAGGACTGACCACCAAGCCCCCTAAGAGAATCTGCACAAAGGTCATTATTGCTCTCTGCCTTTGCTTTGTCAGGCTGCACCATTCTGCAGAACCGGAACTCCACAGAAACATCAGCAGCACGAACTTCCTGGTCACAGGAGGCTACCACGTGAAGGTGAGCATGGCCTTGCAGGGGCCCCTTGAGCCAACCCTGTGTGACTATTGGGTGTAGGGGGAAGGAGCACAGAGTCCCAGAAAGTCTCTGCCTGCTCGCTGGTTTCTCAGCCTTAATTCTATAACTGAGTTTGACTCCTTCCCTTCCCAGCAGACAGGGGTGAGTCACACTGCAGAACACTCAGTCATGGCCAACTCTTCTGTTGCCCACCCTCCCTCTCTGCCCACACAGCAAGGATGGGCTGAGTCCCTTCCCTTAGATGCCTTATATCACTTCTATGTCCCTGCCACCAGAGGGGTCTTCTTATGGCCACATAAACATCACACTCCCAGGACTTACAGCAGCCATGCTTCACAATCAGGGCCACTTAAAAGGATGTCATCCTGGAAGCAGAGCTTGAAGGCAGGTAGCGTGCAGCCTTCCTCCCCACTGGGAGTCCTCACAGCCATCCATGAAGGTGTCTAGGAGATCTGCTCTTTGCCTTCTCCCCAGATGCAAGAGAAAATGATTGCCACCAGATGGGGGTAGGCACATGCTGGCCTAGAAGCCTCCTGGCCCACTGGTGTCAATAGCTATTTGAACAATTCTAGAGACAATACTTCCAGTGTCCCCACAAGGGACAGATGTACCACTTTCAAGAGTCACTACAAAACATAGTGTCCCAGTGCCCAGTGAAGGAGTCTTCCTTATGCATTACATAAGACCATAGGTGGAATCCTGAACCCCCTCCAGAATCCTCTGAGGTGGGAAATTTCCACTTGAAAGGACAAGCAGAGCAGCCTGGAGTGGCTAGAAGAACACAAGATACTTCTTGAAAGAAAGAAAAAATACAAAACAATAACAGCAGTCTGACTGATTACTACAAGAACAAGCATCAAGGCAAGTGGTCCGGTCCCCTCAGGGCAAACCCCCTTCCAAGACTGAGGCTCAATGGGAACACACGAGCAAACATGCGCTCTGATTGGTAACCACGTTTGTCACTGATAAAAGGAAGTGAGGGAAAAACAGCAATGAAGCTGCGATCTAAGCCCTACAATGTTCAATAGATTCCTGTGAACCCGGGTGGAGACCTGGTTGGCCAGCAGTGTGGCAAGACTTGGGGACTCCTGGGCCCAGAATCAGTGACATAGCCACAGAGGACTAGAGTAGAGAGTGAAGTGTCCAGCTGATTAAGAAGAGAGGGCATATGCATAAGAAGACCCACACTTGCAGATAATACCCACTTGACCTGGCTTCAATGACTGGATGATCAGAAGTCAACTAGAAGAAGAAAGAAGAGGAAAAAAAGAGTAGTCTGATATAATTTGATGAACTTGACCTACACCTATAGATGCAATAGCTCAAAAGAGGGAACAAATCTTTACAGCAAGGATCATTCCCACCCCCTCGCTACATAGGGTAGACAGGGCTACCCAAAATGGGGGGACTACAAAGGCAAGAAGTGACTGGCTTACAGACTTTGAAGAGGGAGCCTAGATCCAGAGGGCACGGAGGAAGGTAGAATCTCCACTGAGTAGTGTCCAGTCTGTCTGGACGAGGCTGATGAAAGGTGATGGGGATAGGACTCATGTGGTACAATAGTGAATAATTGCTATCAGCACTGACTGTGAGGGTTGGAAATGTAAAGGTAGACGTTTTATAGCAAAAGGAGGGAGTGGTTGACTTTGTGGTCCAGAAGCAGAGGTCCCTGGGACCATCAAGGGAGAAGAGTAGAGTGCGGGACCCTACCCAGAGAAACAATGACGTGGAGAGAGGAATAGGTGGGGACTTTAGACCAGAGAGGGAGAGAGCTGTGTGTGGATGACCTGGGGTGGGGGCGGCGGGGCGGGGCAGGCTTGCAGGGTATACCCTTTGGTTGGTTGATGCTGCATGGAGGGGATTGTAACCATGGCAATGAAATGATATACATTGGGATGAATGTAAAGCTAAAGTTCTCCCATGTACACTATCACATAATTCACAATAAAACACTTTTTATAAAAAAACAAAACATAGCATCCCACTGGGTATGTGGAATAGGCCCCCCATCCCCTCCCATACAGAAGCAATTTTCCCATCAGCAGCTCATTTTTGTCACCAGCTTTGTTACTTATATACATAGGTGACAGTCTACCAGTACCATGTTTTCATGGAAACAGAGTTAAATAAATAGTTAACTAAAGGTCCAAGTTTCAGACAGAAGAGGAAAAGGATTTTGTAATTGCTACTTCCAGAATTCCCAAATGCTAAAAGAATATTTTGCCCTTGTGGTTAGCAGCCAAGCACTTAACCACTGTGCCACCAGGATAACCTTAAAAAATAATAATAAGACTGCTATGGAGTCAGTTCCTATGCATTACAACCCTATACAGGGTTTCCAAGACAACATCTTTATGGGACCTGACAGTCTCATTTTTCGCCCTCAGAGCAGCTAATTGATTTGAACCACCGACCATATGGTTTGCAGTCCAGTGCCTTTAGAATATTGCATTGGCCACATTTGACCAGAGCAAATAATAGGTCAGCTCTGGTAGCATAGTAACGAATCGGGTTGCGAACCTTAAGGTCAGCAGTTCAAAACTACCAGCCGCTCTGTGGGAGAAAGAGGAGGCTTTCTGCTCCCGTAAAGATTCATAGCCTCGGAAACCCTGTACAGGGTCACTATGAGTCGGAACCAACTCGACGGCATTTAACACCAACAACAGGGAGTCCTGGTGTAGCACTGTAGGATAAGTATTTGACTGCTAACTGCAAAGTCAGCAATTCAAACCCACTAGCTACTCCTCAGATACCCTATACAGCATCACTATGAATTGGAACTGATTTGATGGCACTTAACAACATTATGAGATCAAGAAACCCTGGTCACCATTCAGTGACTTTGAGAAATTGGGAACTGATCCGAGATAAAGGTAGGAGTATGAAATGGCAGTGTTGTCCAACAAGCTGTTTACTGACACCAGTGCATCAGCAGTTGGTGCATTTGGAGAGGAGGGTAGTCCTCTCTAGCAGGCGACCCTCCTAGGCAAGTGGCACAGGGAGCCACCAGGAGGGGAAGAGGGCAGTGGAGCCCCCAGGGACAGAGAAAGCAAGGTGGAATCTCTAGGTCAGAGAGCTCTGAGGGGCAGGTGCTTGGGTCTTTGTTAGGACAGGGTTTGTCTCATCTATGGCTAGCAGAAACTGGGTGCATCTTCACAGGCTATGCAAAACAGGCAGGCTTGAAGTGGCTAAAAATCTGCTTATTCAGGCTATTTTAAAAAAATGTTTACATGTGTAAAAACATGAGTTTGGTGCCAGCTTCCTTTTTGGGCTAAGAGGCCTCAGCCTCTTCTGAGAAAACAACCAACCTGAGGCTCATTTAAACCATCACCAGATAGAAATCTCCTGGGGCTTGTCTTGGTTGTTGCGCCACAATAAGGTGAACGCACCATGTCAGTCCCAGGCAGCTACACAGACAAAAGGCACCAATAGCACCAACCCCCTGCCCTCCATCCCTTTCCCCACAAGAGCTTCCTGCTCTAAGTCACCTCTCTGTCTAGCTTGCAGGATTTGAATTGACCAAAACGCAGACTTCCATCAGTGGGCAAGTTAAGGAAAAAAGAGCAGAGAGAGTCAATTCTACAGCATACTTCTCACCCCAGGTTCTGAAAAATGTGTTTCATAAATATGACGTAAAGGCTGAAATATACAGGTAGGTTCATGTTCTCATGCAGATTCAAATGCAGTTGAAGACGACATGACAGCTTAGTGGCTAGCTCCACCTTCGAGAACTGTCTTAACTTTTTTTGAGTGATACTGACTGATAAGCAGAAATTTCACCAAGTATTTTTGGAATGCTCGACGCTCATGGAAATAGGAAAACTTGTTACGATTGTTCACTTTCCTGCTTTTCTTTTAGCTTTGGAATCGTCCTCTGGGAAATCGCCACTGGGAATATCCCATTTCAAGGTGATGAGAGTCAGACCGTGGGTAGTATTGGGGCCCCTTCTAATGGATTAGTAATTCCCTACCAGTGCTCCCTGGGAGCTTTGTTCTCCAATGTATGCACTGCCTGGGCAGGCCAGTGGAGTCATTGGGAGCTCTGTAGCTTTTCCAATACTGAAAGTCTCAATTTCTGATGCCAGCCATCAGCATCCTGAGATGTATGAGTATCAGAGCCTGTTTTTAAGCCTGCCATCCTGTCATTTCCATGCCAGGCTGTGGGTCAAGGAAGATCCAAGAGCTGGTGAAGTCAGGAGGGTGCCCGGAGCCGCTGGGTGACGACTGCCCTTCAGAGCTGCAGGAGGTCATCGATGGGTGCCAAGCCTACGAGCCTGCAGAGCGGCCCTCTGTGGATGGTAGGGCTTTTTCTTATTTGTTCATAGTCCAGCTCTAGAGCATGAGCCACACGCATTGCTTCACATTATGACCGTTAAGATGGTGGAGGCCTAGTATGGCACTACAGGATAAGTACTGAGCTGCTAATTGCAAAGTTGGCGGTTCAAACCCACCAGGCTGCTCCTCAGAAATCCTGTAGAGGGTCACTATGAGTTGTAACAGACTCTACAGCACTTAACAACAACAACAACAAGAGTATGGTGCTGGAGCCCATTATGGTACCCTGTGGCACATTGGGCTGCTAACCACAAAATCAGTGGTTCAAACCCTCCAGCTGAGGAGAAAGATGAGGCTGTCTGCTCCCATAAAGATTTAGTCTTGAAATAGGGTCGCTATGAGTAGGAATTCTCTCAATGGCAGAGGGTTGGGTTTGGATTCAAAGATGGTGATTCACATCCAGGAGTGGTTTTGCTCCCCAGGAGACATTCCATAATGTCTGAAGACAGTTATGGTTATTCCAATTGGGTGGGTTGGGAAAGCAATGCTATGTCCAGTGGGTTGTTGTTGTTGTTATGTCTGGTGAGTACTTCTGATTCATAATGACCTTTTACAAGATTTCTGAGAAGTGACTGGTAGGTTTGAACCACCAACCTTGTGGCTAGCAGTCTAGTGCCCATCCTACAGTGTCATGCCAAGACTCTAAACAAATAATTATCTGGCAGGAAACCCTATACAGGATCGCTATGGGTCAGAACTGACTCAACAACACTTAACAACAATGACGATGTCCTTAAAAGAGCCCTGGTGGGATAGGGAGTTAAATGTTGGGCTGCTAAGCCAAAGTTTGTCAGTTCAAACCCACCAGCTGCTCCACAGGAGAAAATGAGCCAATTTGTTGGCAGCTTCAAACTCTATGGAGTTCTTCTCTACTTGTATGAGTTAGAATGATTCAATGGCAATCAGGCAAATGTCAACAGAGAAGGATTTGAGAAACCCTGCTCTATGGGCATTGTTTGGTCCACAGTGAGTTGGGAGAAGGAGATTCCTCTCTCCACCCTTTTTCCTTCCTTCCTACCCCTCCCCCCAGCCTCCCTCTTATTTTCTTTTCTTTCCTTTTCCTTCCCTTTCCTGCCCTTCCATTCCCCTTTTTTCTTCCCTTCTTTGCTTCCTTCCTCTCCCTTTGATTTTTCAACATCCTTGGGATAATTTTTTTTGACTCAGACTTTCTCTCACCTTAAGTTGCTTCTCCATATCTTCCTTGCCCCATCTGCCTCCCTGGGTGTGTTTCCCTCTGTCACTTTAGACCCAGATCTCCCAGAGTTCCCAAAGAGAAGGGTGTTTCAGATCAGCAACCCTGGAGCAGAAAAGTGTTGCCACTCAAGGTATTGCATAGTTCAAAGACATGAAACAATGGTTTTCTTATTTTCACTGTGATGGGTATCATACGATCACAATGAAAGGAGCTCTGGTAGCGTACTGGTTACGAGTCGGGCTGCTAAGCTCACATTCAGCAGTTCGAAACTACCAGCAATTCCACAGGAGAAACTGACTTTCTGCTCCCATAAGGATTTACAGCCTTGGAAACCCTATACAGGGTTGCTGTGAGTCAGAACTGACTCCACGGCACGTAACTGCCACCACCACCACCACCACCAGTGTTCTGGTTCTAGTGTGGCCACTCGACCACAAGGTTGATTTGAACCGTAAGGTAGCTAGCGGTTCAAACCCACCAGCTGCTCCTTGGAAACCCTATAAAGGGTTGCTATGGGTTAGAACTGACTCTACAACACATCACCACCACCACCACCCATTACCGTGTGGAGTCTTGGTGTGGCGCTGTAGGATAAGCACTCGACCGCAAGGTCAGTTTAAACCACAAGGTTGGTGGTTCAAACCCAATAGCTGCTCCACGAAAACCCTATACAGGGTCTCTATGCATCGGAACTGACTCAGTGGCACTTAACAACAACAACTAGTGTATAAAATTTGCATGTACCATTTTTTTAAATCATAATAAAAGAACACACATCCACTCCTTGGTTAAGGAGTAGAGTATTATCGCTCTAGATGACTCAGAAACCACTGATGAGCCCCTTGCTTTTCACATTCCTTACTTCCCCAAGAGGTAAGTACTATAGAAACGTTTGTGGTAGAAAGCTATAGTTTTACTAGCTGTGTACACATATTATTTTGTATCCCATGTATAAGGA